ACTGGCCCTCATATGTGGGATCCGAACCGGGGCCCTCTGGCATCCCAAGCGAGTTCTTAACCATTGCGCCACTCGGCCGGCCCTGAGCCTACGTTCTTAAGTGAACTCTTAACCAACTGAACCACTCGGCCAGCCCCTGCCCGTTTTCTTAATGAAGACTTTATCTTGAGATGGCTGTGGATGGGTAGACATGTGGTTATAGGAGACACAGAGCTCCTGGGTTTCTCCCAATGGTGACACCTCACAAGCTGCAGTACACAACCACCACCAGGATGCGACAGCAAGCGGTCAAGGCCGGACAGCCTTGCACCCCACAGGACCTCATGCTGCCTCGTGCACACCTCAGCCCTGCACCCCAGCAATGTTAATCTGGTCTTCATTTCCATGACTATCACTGGCAGCACGTGATACGAAAGCGATCATACAGCATGTAACTATGTGGGTTCCAAGGTAGGTTGTTATGCGTGTTGGTAATCGTCCCTTTCTCGTGTAAGAAGTCCGCAGGGTATGCAGTCCTGGTTTAACCATTTGTCCGCTGAAGGACATCTGGTTGTTCCTGCTTTTAGGTTCTTGTGAAAAAAACTGCTTTGGGTTTGCTTTCTGGTCCCCATCTTCAGTAGGTTAGGTGAGCCCCACTGGGACTTCTCACGAGTGCTGCTGGGTGGACCTCCTTCTGGGAACTTCCAGAGGCTGCTCTGGGTACTACACAGATACACGTAACCATCACAGGCTGAGTGTCCTCACTGCTCCAGTCCCAGCAACCTGTGGAAACCTCACCACCTGACGTCCCTCACTCTGCTCACACTCTGCACGGCCCACGGGGTCATCATTTCTGCTTCAGCCATCAAACCTGATTCAGAAGACACATGAAGAGGGGAGCCTGCTGGGCCTCCCCGTATAGTTGCTAGCCGTGCTCTTCCTTCCCGGCGTGCCACGTCTCCTTCTATCGTTTCCTGTATGTTTGGAGAACACGTCTGCTGGCGACAAACCTGTTTTGCTTCATCTGAGGACATGTGATTTCCTCCTCGTTCCTACAGGATATTTTTGCTGGACACAGGACTCTGGGTTGACGGGTTTTTTTTTTTTCAGCACATGAAAAATACTGTTTTGCTTCCTTCTGGCCCCGTGATTTCTGATGGAAACTCGCTGCCATTCGTACTGTCTTCCCTGCAGGTAAGATACCATTCTCACTGCTTTCCCAATTACGTGTTTGTCCTTAAGTGCTCGTTAGTTTGACTATAATGTGGCTTGGTGTGAATTTCTTTGGGTTTATCCTGTCTGAGAATCACTCGGTTTCTTAAATTTACAGATGTATGTCTTTTATGGAATGTGGCAAGTGTTCAGTCATCTTTTTTTTTTTTTTTAAGTTTTTTTAAATTAGGGAATTGGGGGAGAAGAACAGCGTTGGGGGAATCGGGGAAGGGGAACAGACAAGTTGCTGTCTTTTTGTTCTTCAGTCTAGTTGTGGAGGACGTTGCTTAACTGGCCCATGTTGGTTTCATCATTGTGCTCTTCACGCGAGAGGCAGATCGGTCGCCGGCCACTGGACAGCCGCTCACGGCAGCTCTTGGCAGCTCACACCGGCTGCTGGCCGCTCACGCTGGCTGCCGGCCACACACGGTAGCCCATGGCAACCCAATGCAGCAGGAGCTGCAGCCTATGCCATCGCCGGCAACTCACAGCAGCCCAGCTCCAGGTCGAGCTGTTGTTCATCATCTTAGCTGTAGAGGGCGCAGCGTCACCGGCCCTCATGTGTGATCCGAACCGGGGCCCTGCTGCTCAAAGCTGGCGTCCCAAGCCAGCTCTTAACCAATGCGCCACTTGGCCGGCCCAGACATCATTTCTTTGAGCACTTTTCCAGGTCTGTCCTCCACTACTTCCGGAATTCCCACGACATGCATGTTAGGAGCTTTGCAATCGTCTCACAGATACCTGAGACTCTGACCACTTTTTCCACCTTTTCTGTTGTTTAGATGGGTCATTTCTATTGTTTTATCTTGAATTTCACCGATCCTGTCTTCTGCCCTCTCCATTCTGCAGCAGAGCCCACCGAGTTTTTCATTTTGGATTGTATTTTTCATTTAAATTTCCATTTGGTTCTTTACGTCTTGTTTTTCTTTGCTGAGACTACTTTTTTTTTTTTTTAAAGATTTTTATTGGGGAATTGGAGGGATGGGAACAGTGCTGGGGAATTGGGGGAAGGGGAACAGACAAGTTGCTGTCGTTTTGTTCTTCAGTCTAGTTGTGGAGGACGTTGCTTCACTGGCTCAAGTTGGCACCATCATTGCGCTCTTCCCGGGTGAGGCAGATCAGTCTCCAGCTTCTGGACGGCCACTCACTGCGGCTGCTGGCTACATACGTTAGCCCATGGCAACCCACTGCCACAGGGGCTGTAGCCCACGCCGTCACGGCGACTCACAGCAGCCCAGCTCCAGGTTGAGCTTTTGTTCAGCATCTTAGCTGTAAAACGCAGTGTCACTGGCCCTCATATGTGGGATCCGAATCGGGGCCCTCTGGCATCCCAAGCCAGTTCTTATCCATTGCGCCACTCGGCCGGCCCTGAGACTACATTTTTATGTGACTCACTTCATCACTGCTATGGAAGCATTTCACAACAGTGGTTTTAAGATCGTGTCTGGTTTCTCTAACCTGTCCCTTCGGTGCTGGCATCCATTGGTTAACTTTATTCATTCATTTTGGGATCCTTCTGGTTCTTAGCATGAGGAGTAATTTTTTATTGAAACCTGGACATTTTGATATTATGCTCTGAGATTCTGGATCTTATTTCAGACACTGTCTGTCTTAGCTGTCTCCCGGTACTCCTCTGGCCTGGCTTAAGGGGTAGTGTTCTAACCAACTTTTACAGATTTTGTAGTTGATGATCTGGTATCAACTGATCCAAACTAACGACCAAAGTTATTTACATCTGCCCTGTCGCCCAGCTTTCATGGGCGCCCGAAAATCGTATTTCAAATCTTCCAACCACAAACCCTAACTTCTGTGTTTCACTTCCTACCCAATCCAGAATGTCTTTAGCTGGCCACGCCCACGACATGAGTAACACAGGTCAAGCCATGGTTCCTCCCTCCTTCCCCCGCTCCTGCTTCCTGTCCAGGTGTATCAAGGGCTGGTGTGGCCCTGAGTGGGTGCCAGGCCCGTTTCTAGGGAACTGGGGACAACAGGCTGCTTTTGTTGGCACTGAGCTCCTTATGCCATCATTCAAACCCATAGGTACATTTTGAGACAGGTGGGGTGCTGCCTCGTTCCTGCCAGGCTCCCCAGTCACCTCAGTGGACCCCCAGGGGAGAGAGACTTCTGTTTCTGCTGGGAGGGGTGAGTGGGGGTTTTGGCTCCCCACCAGCCTCACAGACCTCCCTCATTACTGGCCTACCTGACCTCCACTGACACCACCCCAGAGGAAGGAGGGGGGATCTTGGGACTGTCGGGAAGCGTGCATGTGGGGGCAGGGCCAGTGTTTCCTGTGCAGTCTGGCTGGAGCAGAGTGGTCAGTTTGGAGCCGTCTGTCCCACTAGGCGGCCCCTTCCTGTCCTTCGGCAGAGGGCAAGCTTTCTTGCACTTGTCAGTGTTTCTGGGTTGCTGGCTTCTTCGGCCCCAGGCTGGGATCTGTGAGGCACACAGAAGCGCCACTGCATCGTTCCTGGGGTCCCAGAGCCTTCACTCCCAACTTCTCGGAGTCTTCCTATGTTTGTTCTCTACTTCAGGTCCAGGGGAAAGGGTGCCCATCCCACCTTCACGACAGCAGAGGCCTGGTTGCTGTCCCGCTTCATCAGGACCTGAGATTCTGCAGACCAGGGCAGATCAGGCAAGCATGGAGGTGAGCCGCTCGGGGACCCAGCAGCGTTCACTGGCTCTTAGAGAGGGCTCAGAATGCAGACCAAGGGCTCTGCTCAGCGACAGAGCCATCTCGTCAGGCTAAGGTGACAGCAAACAGCTGGAGTCAGGGGCTGCTGAGGCAGACAAGCCTGGGGGCTGCAGTCCAGACACAGGGAGGTGTAGGGACCAAGCCGGTGTCAGGTCTCAAGGTGAACAGGGCAGAGGTGAGGGACTGGCAGAGCCTCTGCAAAGCAGAGCAGGACCTCATAGGCTGTGCTGAGCTGATGGCCCTGTGCAGGGAGGGGCAAACCACAAACGTCAGGCCCAGCCCCGGTTCGGCTCCTGGAGGACAGTACCACCCAGAACCTCTAGAATTTTTCACAATGTCTGCATTTGAGAGAAGCTAAATAGTACCAACAAAACCAAGAGAGAAAGCAAAAAAAAGACCTACAGATAACACTGTTACTGGAAAAATCAGACATGAACTACAGTTAGCATGTTCAAGAAAATAGGACAAGATGGACAGTTTTACCTGAGAACTGATATCTTAAAACCAAAACCAAAAAAACAGAATTTTTAGGACTGAAATTAAGAACTCAGAAGATGATTTAAGAGTAATCAGACCCAGAAGAAGAGATCAGTAAACCGAAAGTAAACAAGGATGTAAAGTAAGGAGAAGAGCAAGTGAGGTGCGGGGCATGGCGGAGTTGACGGGAGAGGTGGAGCAGTGTCTGGGGAGGGGAGAGAGCTGAGGGGAGATGGTGGAGGCACAACCATCAGCCAGCACAATAATCGCAGACCAACACACCCAGGCACATTATCGTCGTAGAATGGCTAAAATCCAAAGCGAAGGAAACCTTAGATGCTGCAGAGGCGAGAGGGACATCTAAGGAACAGTAATAGGCCCACCGCTGCCACCTCACTGAATGGCACTTCAAAGTCTAGAAAGAAAGGAACGCCAGCCTGCAGGTCTGTACCTGGCAAAAAAACACCCTGAACCTAAAGGGAAATAAAGACACATCCACCCAAACAGAAACTAAGGGAAGTCATCACAAAGAAATGGTAATGGGAATGGTCTGAGCGGACATGGGGCGTAAATGTGGGGCGCACCATCATCAAATGGGACGTGAAATGTAGGGCGACCAGGCAAAGGCGGAGGCGCAAGTGGGGGGAAGTCGCCTCCAGGGCCAGCACTGACAGGGGAGGGGTGGGAAAGCACTTACTCGCAGGAGGCTCCTGCTTGTAGAGAACTCTAGGGAACTGCTAAAATGACAAATAACAAGCTAATGGGGATGAAATAATAAAAAAGTGCTTGATTCACCCAGATGAAGGCAAGAAAGAAGATTAAGTGTCATGTAAGCAGGTGGGACAAATAGGAGGAGTGTGGGCTGAACACTCCAATTAAAAGGCAGACACTATCAGACCGCATAGGAACAATGACAAACACGCTGTAGATAAAAGGACTCACGAAGCCTAAAAGTAAAAAGATGTGAAAAGCTGTTGGAATATCAGACACCGAAGATTTTAAGGCAAGCAGAGTTTCTAGAGAAACGGAGGGATGTTTCATGAATTCCTCCCGAGCAGGTACACAGGAGCCGCCAGGCTGTGGGCGGGCAGGTGGGCAGGGCCATGTGGTCTTGGGCCAGGACAGCTTTTGACTTCCTGCCCTTTACTCAGGAGCCCAGTTCTAGGTCACGATGTTAAGAAAATCAAAGATCTGGGGCAAAAATCCATGTGAAGATTCTTATCGCAGTGCTGTTTGGGGCTGCAGAAGACTGGCTAAAGTAACATTATAAGTTGTGATCCATCCATGTGATGAAGCATCAGCAGGCCTTAAAATTTATCTTTTCAACGAATATTCGGCAACTTGGGAATATCTCCTAATGTCATGCAGGTGGAAAATCGTACGGACCGCATAACCCCAACAGTGAGCCCAGCACATGCTCACGCACCCATGCACATGCGCAGCCAGAGACTTCAGCTCCTAGCTCAGGCCCGCGCTTGCTCACCTTGTCATCTGCCTTGATGGAACGCAGCCGCATGGTCAGCTGGAAGCGCAGGAAGTTGTTGGTGCCGATGGACTGGAGCTCCAGCAGCTTGCACAGCGCCACCAGCTGCGGCCGCGTGAGGTTATCCAGGGTCAGCTCGTCCTCAAATAACTTGGAAAAACGCATGATTTCCTCATTGCTGGGTCTCTCCCCCGTCTCTCGGATCTGCAGGAGCAATCCTAAGGTTGCCCACAGTGGGGGCATGTTCCCTGGGACCCCCACAACCCCCCAGGGAGCTGCACCTTTCCTGGGGCAAAAATCCATGTGAAAAGAGACTCATCGCAGTGCTGTTTGGGGTTGCACAGTAATAGTAAGTTGTGATACACTCATATAGTGAAGCGTCAGCAGGCATTAAAATTCATCTTTTGTGACTGGGAAGAGGCTGTGGGCCTCTCTCACTGCTGGACAGGAGGCCCTGCCACCCGCTCCCACCACGGACGTGGCTGTGGAACAGCCTTCTGGTCTGTCCCCTCCTCCACCCGGACTCCCAGCTTGTCACAAGTGTGGGGTCTAAGGTTCCTCATCTGCCAAACTCTCCCTCCCCAGGTCTGCTGCAAAGTCAGAGACACTGGTAAGTAACTCAGAATGTTAACAGGTTCAAGTTCTCAGGGTGGAGGCTCAGCCTCGCTGAGCACAGGGAGCCTCCTGGTCAGGCCTCCACGGCACCGGCCACTGCCCACCCGTCCCTACAGGAGCAAAGAGGGAAGCACGGAAGTGAGGCTCTTTCCCCGGAAGGCAGGGTGGCCCGGTGCTACCCGGCACCCAGCCCCGAGAGGCTGAGGCCCAGGGGCTCCAGCAGGGCACCTTCTGGAAGAACACGGAGAAGTCTTTGGTGGCGCTGCCCTTGGCCGCCTTGTTCTTCAGGGCCATCTCCTCAATGGTGTCCTGCAGAAACTTGGCCAGCTCCAGCTTGACCCGCAGCTCCTTCTTGAGCCTCTCCTCCTGCGAGGGCAGACAGGGCGCTGCACTCCCTGGTTGACGGGAAGCCCGCTCCCACCGCAACCCAGTGCCCATATGGAGATGCTTCCTCCCCCAGGGCAGGCGGTGCTGGAACCTTCTCCGCTAGCCCCTGGTCCCGTGCACACGTGTATGACCCCAGAGCAGGGCCAGCCTGGCTTTGTGAGCTGTGTGGTGCGGAAGCCACCTCAACTAAGCCGGGGCAGTGAAAAAGCTGCCGGACAACATACGTTCCGCCAGGCACACGTGTCCCCAAGAGACCCTATTGACCAAAATGGGCCAGACGGATCCTACTCCCTGAATGGGTCTCAAGCTGTGGCTTGAAGAGCACTGGGCTAGAGAAACCACATTTTAAAACACATTTTAAGAGAACCAGATCAGAAACCCAGCACCTATTAAATATTCGCAGCACAGCATGACTGGATTATAGACACAACTTCAAAGCATCTAACATCTGAAGTGTCCTTCACAAGCCACACAGCCATGGTAACCGCGTGGGAATCACTAGCCCCGCTGCCCCTTCACCTTGATGGACTGGGTCTCGAACGTGGACGGCAACATGTTGGGGAAGAGCTTCACCACGACAGGAAGCAGGAACTCCATGAACGGTACCACCACGAAGACCAGGAAGGGGACCAGGCGGAAGAGGTCGGCACAAATCCGGAGAAACTGCAAGGAGGCGGAGCAAAGGGGCAGGGTGGGGCAGGAGTTGCAAGTGATGCGACAGCAAGTCTTCCACGGCTGGTGGGTCAGGGGCGCGCTGGTGAGAACTCTAGGCTCCAAACAGCTCCCGAAGGCCACTTCTTTGTCCTGAACCCAAACCATGTGCCGGGGCCTTCAGAAAAGTTGGGTGGGAGCTAACAGCATGTGCATGCGCGGAACAGCACCACCACTGGATGCTGCCTGCCACCAGCTACCCAGAGGCAGGGCCAGGCGCCTGCCCACTGTGGGTCCTGCTCTAGGAAACAGTGCTGCCATGTGTTGAGGGCTGGTGGTTCCTGGCAGCAGGGAGGCTACCAGGGAAGGCTATGGCCACACACCCCCATCCCATGCGCTCTGCAGAAAGGAGTATTAGCTGTGCATTTCTGTTTTTTCCTGAGATGGTTAGGTTTAAGGCTATATTACATAGCAATAGTTAGAAAAAATCGAAGTGCTTCTTTAGTATAAATTACTGCTGACGCCATTAAAGAAATGGCAAGTTGGGGTGATCAAAAATGCCTGAGAACAGTAAGCCACTGGCTGGGTCCCCAGGCAGCAAAACCTTCTCTGCAGTCACTTAGCGCACTGCTGCTCCCACTAAAGCTGTCAGGCTCACAGGAGCCGAGACTACTCTCCGTGCCGTCATCCACATGTCCACCATAACTAGTGAGCATTCTTTGGAAGAGTGGCAGCATTTCCAGAAACAGCCTTGTTTGGGGCTTGTCTGACCTCTGCACAATCGGGTCCGGGTGACATGTTCCCTTGCAGCACCGCCTCCAGGGTGATGGCTGCCCTTCCTGGGCGGGGTCAGGAACAAGCAGTGTGTGAGGAGACACTGGGAGACCATGCTCACAGCCACCTTTTCCCCTAGATGCACTCATCCATGCTTCTTCCAAACCTGTCTCTATTCTGATGCTCCCTACACAGCAACTCCTTAATGTAAGCCTATCTCTGCATTTACCAACCCTGCTTTCTTGCACATTTTTTATCAAAATGGATTCAGGAATTCCTACATTTTTCATTTATTTACAATTCATTTCTATTTTTATTTTTATTTTTTATTTTTTTTTATTTTTTTTTTTTTTAGCTGAGCCATCCCGCCACCTGTTGGTAGCTCCGCGGCTGCTCAGCTCGGGCTGACTCGAACCACTGTTGCTCAGAGCTCAAACTCTTGAGCGAGCTCTTAACCAACTGAGCCACTCAGCCGGCCCCGTATTTTTATTTTTATGCTCAAATTTTTATGCCCAGATTTGGCCATGGAAAGACCCTCCAAGTTGGTGCCTGTGTTTTTTGACATTTCTCCATTAAAATTTTTTTAGCAGTTCTTTTGAGGTTTGATTCACATACCATAACATTCACCCATTTTAAGTGTATAATGCAATGATTTTTTCTGACTCTATAGATTGTGAAACCATCACCAAAATCCAGCTTTAGAACGTCTTCATCACACCAAAAAGTTCCGTTGTGTCCACTTATAGTTCGTCTCCATTTCCACTCTCAGCCCTAGGCAAACAGTGATTTGATTTGTTTCTATAAATTCCCCTTTTCTGGACAGTTCCTGTATATGCAACTCTTTCGAGTCTGGCTTACGCTATTAGGAATGCTATGTTTTTTTTTTTTTTTAGCTGAGCCATCCTGCCACCTGTTGGCAGCTCAGCTCGGGCCAGGCATCAAACCGCTGTTGCTCAGAGCTCAAACTCTTGAACGAGCTCTTACCGAACTGAGCCACTCAGCCGGCCCTATAGGAATGCTATGTTCTCTTGATGACCTGACCCCTCGATCATTAGGAAGCAACCTTCCTCATCCACAGTAATCTCCACTCTGAAATCTACTTTGGTATCAATGTGGCCACACCAGCTTTCTTTTAACTAGTGTTAGCACCCCATACCTTTTCCCATTATTTTACTTTTAATCTATGTGTTTTTACATTTAAGGTGTGTTTTTTATAGACTACATATAGTTGGGTCTTGCTTCTTTTTAATCTAATCTGACAATCTCAACCATTTAATTAATAAAACTAAAAAAAGTAAAACCACATGATTACCTAAGCAGAAAACACATTTGACAAAATCCATTCTTGATAAAAACTGATGAAATTTACAAAAAAGGTATTAGAACTAATAACTGAGTTTATAAGTCTGCAAAGTACAAGACCAATATATAAAAATCAATTGTATTTCTACATCCTAGCAATCAACAATTGGAAACTGAAATTTTAAAAATTCCATTTACCTACAATAGCCAAAACTTAGGAACAACTCAATTGTGCACTGCAGGATGAACGGATGAACAAAACGTCGTGTACACACACAATGGAATATTATTTGGCCTCAAAACGAAGGACATGTGACACCTGCCACAACACGGCTGGACCTGGAGGACACTGTGCTGAGTGAAATAAGCCAGACACAAATGGACAAACACTGTGTGACCCCACTTATAGGAGGTCCCTAAAGTGGTCAGAAACAAAAAGAACAGTGGCTGCCAGGGGCTGGGGGACGAAGGAGTGGAGACAGTTTGGGGGATGGAGTGTCCTAGGGATGATGGTGTGCACTTAAAAATGGTTAAAACCGTAAAATTTAGCTTGTGTATTTTACCACAATAAAAAGAAATCCATTTACAATACCATCAAACAGTAGGAAACGACACAATATTGCTGGGAAAATGAACACGGTCCCGTTTCATTCCTCACTGGCCATCCCGGAAGTGCCCCCTCGTTTATTTCTGAGCCTTGTCTCATGTTCTGGCACAGGTTCACCTTGGACACTGCTGCCCCAGCCCTGCCTCGGCCACGTTTCCAGGAGCCCTGGCTCCCCCTCATGGGACGGCGAGATGCCAAGGGCTGGGGGCCAGGTGTGCTCCTTGTTCCCAGGGTGTCAGCGCTGTTAGGCCCAGTCACCACACTGAAAGGGAGCAGAAGGCTCGACCACACCAAGGACCAAGGATCAGAGGAGAGCCACTTAAAGCCAGAAACTAAGTCCCAAAATAGCAGATTCATTCATGAGGACTCATGAAGAAACTACGTGGTAACTTTCAACAGTGTGCTTGGCATCGAGGGTGGGGTAGCAGTTTGGTCACCCTAAGAGGGTCACCATTAGCAAGCACTGCGGGGCTGCTGGGGGGGGGGAAGGGGCTGGGAGCGCACGCACTGCAGGCAGACCTGGGTGCCCACCAGCCTGGCTGCACCTTCTCTGTACCCCTGCAACAGGCGTCGGCCACACTGTCCTGTCCAAAGCATCAGAGAGAAAACTCTGCTGACTCAGGCAAGAGCTACAGCTTATTAGGGGACAGTCCCTGCACAGCCACTTCACCTGCGTGTCCATGCAGTTCAGACATAGGCTGCGACTTCATTCAGCAGTACCTTTGTCCTGTTACTTTAAAGCATTTCCACGCTGAAGCTAAGTCTCCTGTGTCAGGGGGAACATCTGGAGGACGGAAACTCTCCTTCCACTGAATACTGTAGGTCCCCAGTTCCAAAGTCGGTGCAGAAAAGGACTTCGCAAACACCTCTGTGCCTCAGCAATCCTGACATTTTTGCCATTCTCCATTGAATGTGATGAGCAAGCATTCAACAGTTACATAAACTTAAATTTGCACTTCAAATGTATCTTCCAGTCAAGCAATACTTATATACACTGTATTAACACAGTTTAAAATTCCTAATGTGGTTTTTCTTTGCCTTTGTAAATACCCTAATTTTAAGAGTCACTTCTCTATAATTGTAAGGGCGATTAATATTTTGTTCAAATTCCAATTATCTATGAAGCCCTAAACCAAGTGAAAAACAGCACAGCTGCAGAACCCTCTTCTTAATGCTGACAACAGGGATCTGCCACCACTGCAGACCCCAGGTCCATGCTGGGATCTCGCCCTGGGACTGACTCATCTGCTCTGACTATTTTTTCTTAAAGGCTCATACTGTCTTCAGTGAAGTAGCAAAGAAAACAACAACAAAAAACCAAAACGAACTTTCTCAGCAGAACGGGCGGAGCACAGGGAGCCAGCTCATGAGGGGCATTATCGTCTTGTAATCTCGTCTTGTAATCACGTAAATGAAAATGTGCCTTATGGTCACAGAGTCCCACAGATGCTAACAGGATGATTCGGAACTTCTAATAAACTGTTCTTTCTTCACATTTCCAATCTGTACCCTTCTAAAAGAGCATCCCTTGGGAGATTCCAGCCAGGTAAACCAAACCAACCTATGTGCTCAATGAAGTTACTGAGAGCAAGTTTAAAACCAGAAGCCAGTTGCTGTCACAGGTAACAGCTAATTCCCAAGATGCGGAAAAGTCCCCATTTTCTCACGAAGAAACCCTCTCGTGGTCAGTTTTGAGGGAAGGAGCATTTCTGTGCCTTTCCTTGGGGGATCTCAGGGCACTGACAGCTTGAAGCTGCCCCTTGTCCCCTGGGACTCAGCAAAAAAGAAAATGACAAGGAAGACAAAAGAAAAGCTTACAGTGTACCTGTCAGTCATTTCATGGACCAACTAAGAGAGGCCCAGAGGTCTGAGCACCTGGAAAACAGGATCTTTTCAAGAGCTGTGGGTGACAGAATGGGCTGTGTACCGAATGCCCAACCAGAAGCTGGGGGGGGGTGGGGTTCTGGATCTGATGACATGCGGGAAGCCTCTGGGTCAGGGGCATGAGTCCCAAACAATACACGAAACTCACACAGAAGGGAAGTGCACAGCCCTAAGGCAAAGGGGAGCAAGGAGACAGAAAAGGCAGTTCGCCTGCTAAGAAACAATCCGGCAGACGGACAGTCAGCGGAAAGGAGAAGCCAGGAGCGACTGGGGCAGCGCTGAAGCACTGAGAGCAAACAAACACGTGAGTGCTGAAAACCTCTGGCAGGACAGGCAGCAAACGTTAGCAGCGTGGCGGCGGCGCTTTGCTTGTAGTACACAGGGGAAGTTTGCTTTTCCACAGGTTTTCTGATCTTTTTTTCCCCCAAAGCAGAATAAAAGCCCTAAAGCATTTCAAAGCAGCCGAAGGGGCGGAGAAGGGGCAGAGCAGGACGTCGCACATTCGCATTACCTGCCTGCGCTCCCGGCGGGTCAGGCTGTGGCCGTTGAGGATGCGCCAGAGCATGCGCGCGGCGATCTTGGTGTCGATCCACAGCAGGCGGAAGCCGTGGTAGTAGTGCTTCAGCTCGTCCAGGACCCTCTGCCCCAGGGACTTCTTCACGGCCACCTCCGCAGGGGGGCTGTACACGGGGCCTCCCTCCTCCAGCTTCTTGTTCTTGTCCTTTAAGGACTTGAGAGACTTCTCCACCACCGAGTCATCGGCCAGCGGGGGCGACGAGTGCCAGCAGCGTGCGGGAAGGAACCGCGGCCCGGTGACAAGCAGATGGGCTGAGGCGGGGGTCCACGGCCCTCGGGCCATGGCGCACGTGCGCTCAGGCCTCTGAGTCCAGCAGCCCAGGAGATCAGCTCTGAAGGAAAGGTACACGGGGTACAGCGGGGTGCAGCCGCCCAACGGGACATGCCTAGAAAAAGAAAAGAGAACAGCCATGTCTCTGACCTCCCAGAGTATCTCAACCATACACCCAGTCTGCCCAGCGCGTAAAACAAGCTCCTCATCACTTCCTGATGCCTAGAAAACACCGGGGAGCCCTTCCCCTCCAGAGCTGGGGTGAAGGAGCTGCCCACGTGGGAGAGTGGCAGGGGCTGGGGGCCTCAAATGGGCAGGATGGACATAAACCCAACCAGCAAGAGGGTGACCCTGGACGACAGACCCAACTCGGGGCGGGTCTCTGACTCCGGCTCCCACAGACTTGGTAGAGCAGGGAGGTCCTGTTCCCTAACAGGTGGCTTTCTACAAAGACCTGCAGTTCCTGAGCAAGTCCTAAAAATCAGCAAGGATGCTCTAAGCAACAGTGGCCCAGACCCAGGTACCAGCTGCCCAAAGGTGTTTGTGCAAAGTGGCAAAAACCAAAGAATGAAGCCCACAGCACCTTCCCCTTCTGCTCACTCTGCTCTGTGCTGGCCTTTTCCCCAACACACACACACACACACACACACACACCAGCAGGCCCCTGGCCCAGGTCCCCAGCTCACTCAGGCCCCCTGACCTGAAGTGCTGTCCCAGCATGCCACTCTCGAGTCCATCACACAGGCTCCCACTGGACCAGCGGCTCTGTTAGGTCCAGTGGGAAGCCACAGGGCCTTCTGTAAGTGAGAACCCCAGAGGCCTCTGTCCACACTCTGTGGCTCACAGGGCTGCCCGGGTACCAGTCCCCTCTTCTGGGCCCCAGGCAGCTGCATATTCAGTGTCCACCCACAAAACAGCCATGCGAGGCTGGCCACGGCACCTGCGTGTCTGGAGCAAGGACCATGCTCCCGCAGCTCTCAGTGCCCAACCAGAGCCAGGCACAGCCCAGGGTTTGTGCATGATGAAGAGACCCTCTTCCAACTGCAGCAGCGACAGACCACCATCCACAACCCAATACTGGGACAACTGGCCCGTACAATTCTCTTTCAGCTTCACAATCTTCCACTCATCTTGCCTGTCACTAAAAACCCCTCCCCTGCTCATGCACAAATCTAGTTCTAGGTGGCTGGCCATAGGCTCCAACTTACTTCAGAGGCACCCTGTTTATAGCAGACATACCTCAGCTTCTTCCCACCCATCGGTCATCTCTCTGTACCTAGCTCAGTGCCAGCTGTGAGGCCCTGGCCTCTGGAGAAGACTGTCCCAGTTCAAATTCCAGCTCCACTACTTATTGCTGTGTGACCTTGGGCAAGTAACTTAACCTCTCTGTGCTTTGACAGCGTCCTTTGTAAATGCGTGTGCTAACATATACAGAGTACCCAGAACAGTGTCTGGCACACAGAAATACCCATCACAGAAGTGGCAGCTATTCCTACTGTCCTATCAAAACAGTTGAGAAGCTGCCAATCAGGGCTGGAAGAAAGCTGGGAAATGTCTAGTTTCGCTGCTTCTTCTACAGATGAGGACACTGAAGGACAAGTTTGCAGCCTGTAATGGGCAGGTGCAGCTGGCACAGGGCACCACCAGCCACCCACCAACCAACCCGTCCCCATGCCCCCCAGCCAGCCTTTCTCCTGTCCTGAGCCCGTTCCTGCCTGCAAAGAGCAGGAGCAGGAGCAGTCCTGTCCTGTGAGGGTCTCTCAAACCCTCCCTGTCCTGACAGTCACAGCCAATGAGGGACAGGCTGCAAGACGCATAGCAGATCCGCTCAGTCAGCTGTGCCTCTCGGTGCAGCCAGGGCAGTGCCCACACAGAGAACCTTACTCCCAGCTTCATCAAGCTACGTATCCAATTTCCAACCCTCACTTAGTAAGGAAGCCAGTGGCTTCCATGAGAAGGGGTGATGCCAGCAGTCACAGTGGCAGCCAGCAGGCAGACATGTGAAGGCCGACTGAGCGGAGGCGCACACAGCGTGCCCAGTGGGGCCTGCACCAGCGAGGCCCAGGACCTGCTGCCTTCAAGCACATTACAGAGAGGACTATTACTAACACTCTAGTCAGAAAAGGTTAGCTATTTTCAAAAGCATAAAACTGCAATTTATTATTTTAAAAATTTCTGTCAATACAAAACCAATCTGGGCACTGCCACCTTTCCGGGGACAACTGGGACAGATGGTGTCACTGAGAAGATGAGCCTGCTCTGCCCCAAGCTTCCAGAGCCCCCGGCGTCCTGAGAAGCACCGGCTCCCACTCTGCAGAGTCAGCGGGCCCAGCCTCCCACCCAGTCACCACACATCCTGCCTTTTCTCCCCCCTCATTTTTTGGATAAACCACCTTCAAAGTGGGGGAAACCCTCTGGCAAAAGCGACATCTCAATAAGAAACACATGGTCAGCAGAGGAAGGCCTATTCGGTCTCATTAAAAAGCATGGGGGCCGGCCAAGTGGCCCGATGGTTAAGAGCTGGCTTTGGATGCCAGAGGACCCCGGTTCGGATCCCACATATGAGGGCCAGTGACACTGCCCTCCACAGCTAAGATGCTGAACAACAGCTCCACCTGGAGCTGGGCTGCCGTGAGTCACCGGCGACGGCGTAGGCTGCAGCCCCTGCTGCAGTGGGTTGCCATGGGCTACTGTGTGTAGCCAAGCAGCCAGCGTGAGTGGCCAGCAGCCGCCGTGAGTGGCCGTCCAGAAGCTGGCGACTGATTTGCTTCGCCCGGGAAGAGCGCAATGATGGTGCCAACTTGGGCCAGTGAAGCAACATCCTCCACAACTAGACTGAAGAACAAAATGACAGCAACTTGTCTGTTCCCCTTCCCCAGATTCCCCAGCGCTGTTCCCATCCCCCCAATTCTCCAATAAAAATCTTAAAAAAAAAAAGCATGGGGACTGCCATTAGTTGCCTGTTTTGCTTTAGGATTCTGACTCCTATGTCCATCTCCAAGAAAAGCAAAGCTGAGCAGTGCCTGGCAAAGGAGCAGCATTCAGGACAGCAGGCACAGCCAGTGGGGACCCAGACCTGCCCGGGACACAGCGCCTCCTCGACTCTTGTAAACAGTTGTGAAAATGCCACAGGCACAAGGCCTGTGGACCACTACACTTGTGGTAACATGTCCCCTTGAAGGGGACATCTCACCAAGACAATGGCCCGAGCGCAGGCCACAGAGGGTGCCACCTCCAGTTCCTCAGCAGGGCAATGTGACACCAGCAGCACCACGACCAAGAGGGTGGATTCTAGAGGTGCAGGACACCTCCCTGCCAGAGACAAGAGGTGAAAGCACGCTCACCTGCAGGACAAAGTACCCCTCGCTACACCTACTGGAGGCCACACGACCTCCAGCGTGCCTGCTGTGTGCGGGAGCACCTGTCACCAATGCGTTCATATTTCCGCCAACTGACTAAGCAGTCACACTAAGTGAGACTTGAGAGGACAAAGAGCCTCATGTCCACTCAGGTTTTCCCGCTGAATGGGGTTTCAGAACTGGTGCATCACAGTCTGACTGCTTATTCAGTCTTGGGGGCTTCCTCTCTGTCGGTATCTCTGTGGTAAAGGAGGTAGAGAACGGCTGGGTCATTTCCATGGTGCTGTCCAGGACAGAACCTCTCCACCTACCCACTCATCAGTCTGGACCATCTTACCTGAAGACCGACTGTGAAACGACTCACACAAATGGGTTACCACTTGCAGTTACTTATCTGTGTGACTCAAGATTTCCTGTACCGTGCCATCAAGATGAAAAATAACACTGGATGCTGAGACTGATGTGAGATTTTGACTCTTGTCTGTAATTCCTAATTTGAACTATGTGAGTTCAGTAACGCAGCTTTACAGTTCTCACTGTTCAACTTTCTAAAGAAAGTGTTCACCATTCTACAGCTTGTGAACATACCGCCCAGCTTTTGTTTTAATCTGAACCTTAAGTGCAGGTGCATTTGAATCTTAAGAAGGTACCCAACAAATTCAACATCCATTCCCAATAAAAACACTTTAAAATAAGAATAAACAGACTTGGGAAAGAGTACTCAAAAAACAGGAGCTACCATTACACAGAGTAAACACCAGACTCTTTACACTTGGCTGTTCTAAGAACACAGGAATGACTACAGCTGTCTGACAACAGATCTGGCTACTGAGCTAAGACCTGAAACCACAACAGAAGCAAAAACAAGGGAAGAAAGAGACAAAAAATTATCCTGTATTAGGAGGATCCCCGACCATTAACTAAAAAGGTGTTACAATAGGAGCAAAAAATAATGAATGGAGCTGGGTGAGTGGCCAGGCACAAAAAAATAGACACAAATTAGTAAATTTTAAGGTGCGAGCAAAAAACATGGTGAATGTTTAAATAAAAAAATTATTACAGTAAAAGACACATTGCCATTAATACCCCTCAAAATACTCCCCTCACTTCAAACACACTTACCCCATTGTTCTTGCCACTTTCTGAAGCAGTTCTGGAAGTCCTCTTTTGTGAGTGTCTTTAGTTGCGCTGTCATGGCCGCTTCAATGTCCTGAATCATTTTGACTTTGGGGGAAGAGCCAGAAGTCGCATGGTGCCAGGTCCGATGAATCAAGTAGATGAAGACACACGGTAATGTTTGTATTTGACAGAAATTGCCGTATACCAGAAGTGATGTGTGACACGGAGCCTTTCTGCTGTGATCACAAAATACGGTGACTGCTGCTGCCAAGTGCCACCCAATCAAAAAGCAGGGATCTTCAATACAGGAAGCGATGTGTTGAACCTTAGTGAAAGTGTGTGACAAGTTTCAACTTGTTTGGTGCAGTCAGTCAGGTGTGAACTACGGTTGAGAGGTATGTTTTAAAGTGTGCCGTAAATCATCCTCCATCATGACAATGCTCCACATCACACATCACTTCTGGTATATGGCAATTTCTATCTAACAAAAACATTATGGTGTGTCCTCATCCACCTTATTCACCGGACCTGGCACCATGCGACTTCTGGCTCTTCCCCAAAGTCAAAATGATTCAGGACATTGAAGCAGCCATGACAGCACAATTAAAGACACAGAAGAGGACTTCCAGACTGCTTCAGAAAGTGGCAAGAACAATGGGGTAAGTGTGTTTGAAGCGAGGGGAGTATTTTGAGGGGGATTAATGGCCAGGTGTCTTTTACTGTAATTTTTTATTTAAATATTAACCATACTGTTTGATTATACCACACACATGCTAGCAACAATCAGTTAGAAAAGATAATGAAGAGGGAGGCCCTTTAACACCACCAAATAGAAAACATCCAGGAATTGTCCTAAAGGCAATGCATGGCCCATACAAAGGAAGTGACACACCTTTTTCAGAAGAAAGGTCTTAATACAGAAAACAACATATACTAGAAACACTACATGTGATTTTAAAAGTAAACAATCCCAAATGATTTTATGGGTTTAATGACATTCCAGTTACAATCCCAAAATGACCATTTTAGAACTGAAATAATTCACAAATTCAACTAGAAGAACAGTTCAGAAAGAAGAAGGCATGCAAGGCCTCGTCCCCCAGAGATGACAGCTAGCTGGAGAACTCACTAAGGTGAATGACAGCTAGGCTGCTCCAGAAGGACAGATGCTCTGCCTACACACAGACAGGCAGAAGGCCCTGCCAGCTGCTGGGGCTCCTGATGCGAGGCGTCGCCCCCACACCTGGGGCTGGTCTCAGCAGAGAACCCAGTCCCCACAGCAGTTCCTAACCTGCCTTAGCCACCAGAACTTTAAAACCATACTTCACACCAAAACCCAGATTTCCAGCTTGTCTTGAAAAACCCTGAAAGCTGGCCCTGTGGGGCCACATCTTTCATGGCAACCATGACCATACCCCGGGGTCACGGGCCACCCTGCTGGGCTCCAGACTCCTGAAATACCACCTGCAGATTAGAGTTCATTTTAGAAGGAAATCTAGAAGGACACGCTTCCGCAAGAGTCAAGATGCCCCATGCTCACACGTTAATGGCTCCACATCATAAAAAGATTTGACAACAGTCTTGTGACCGTAGAAGAGAAACCTAATTGACATAAAAGTCAAGAGCTGGGGGGCTGGGGCGCAGGGGCTGCTGCTGCGTGGGGCTTTTAAACAGACTTTGTTGTGTTCCCACCCAACCGCTGCCCTTGCACAGTTCTGGCCACAGAGACACTCATGCATGCGTGAAAGGCCCCAGGGCTGGCTGCTCACGCAGGCACTTTAAAGTCTTGAGATCCAAGACGGCGGCCAGCAGGAAGCTGATGAAGGACAACCCTCCACATGGTGAGGGGCCTTCAGAATGGAAATCAGCTTTCCAGCACAGGACCCATTCAAACCTCCGAAGATCCCACTTAAAACAAAGATCCATCACTCCAACATCAATGGAAAGGGGAATGTCCTTCTGCCACTAATTACTGCTGAAAACTGAAAGCCAGCAGCCAGAACCGAGCAAATGATCCAGTCCCTCGCAGCACTGGTGAACAGCCCCCAGTCCAAGCCTCCTTCGGGCTGACCCAGCTGAAGAATACTCAAAGGACCATAAAATGAATGTCTTAAAAAAACAGACACTTGGGGGAAGGGGTTTATCACTTTGTGAGGAGTGTAAATGTCTAACTAGTACATTGTTTTGTACACCTGAAACTAATTTAGATAAAAACCAAAAACCAAAAAACAGACACAAAAGGAAAAAGACCAGAATACAATACTGACAATATCTGTCAAAATGCTGACAATATTTGTAACAGGCACTGGGATCATGAGTGTTCATTTATTTTCCAAAGACTCATCAGCGGGTGTGGCTATACATTTCAAAATGAAAAAGATAAAGGTTTGAAAGAAGCAAAAACACAGAGCAGCAAAGTAGGATCTACCGTCCGCCTGCAAACCGAGTCACACATCGCTCAGGCATTTTCAAGCCCCTACTTCCAAACAGGCAGAAAGTGACATTCATTTACTTACACACGGCTTAGCAGCCCCATGGCACTGGCACAAGTGAGACAAGCGTGATCCCCCGGACCACCTACGACAAAAACAAAGAAAAAACAAGAAAATCAGTCTCAACCGGGTGCTTTATGCTGATGTCTCTTGGAATCTGGACGCACGCTGCTCTCTTTTGTAGAGGAAGTTTCTGGAAGCCGGTTCTGCTGTTGGAGGGTCTCAGAGCATTGCTAAGTGCAGGGCTGTCTCAGTTAGGAACACAGCATCTCAGGGTGGCCCTATGGAAAGAAGGGGAGCCTGAGTCAGCACCTGGCTCCTCGCATCCCAAGTGAGGGCACCAGGCTCTGCCAGCCAAGGGCCCAGGGGTCGGGGCCTGCTGGTGTCCTCAGGTGGGACCACTCCCCACTTGCTCCAGTTTGGCACTGGCGGGCAGAGGACAGTGTGCACATTACCCCCAATGTACAGACAGCCTACAGAGCAAACAAGGGACGCAGACAAATGACCCAACTGTCTCCCTGCCCAATGAGAGGACAAGGGCTGAGAATCACTGGGAAACAAACGTCCAGGATAAGCCACTCCCTGGGTAAATAATACTGATGAGTGTACAGCACAATTTCAGGATTTTGATGTATTTTTTATGCTTTCTCTAACTCACTCTAGTTCCCACAAGCATAAATTCAGGGTTCATTCACATGACCAACATTCGGGCCTACCTGTGATCAAACCCCGTGCTGGGGCAAGAGCCTCTGGAGGGGATAAGACTGATACTGGAAGAGGCAGGGCCAGAGGCGTGATGCCAGTGGGGTGCCAGGCAGCAAGCCTGGAAAGGTGGGCAGGCATCATGAGGCCCTTCAGGCAGCAGGAGAGCCCGCAGCAGGTCTGGGCTGCTGAGAGCCAGCTGTGGGAGCCAGCATGAGAAGGGAGGGGAGAACATGGACAGAGCAGGGGGACAGGCACCACTCCTGGGCCCTCAAGGAAGACCCAAACTGCTCCCAGTGGACCCTTTGGGGACAGAGACTTCCAGTTGTCACTTACATAATTCAACAGGAGGCTAGTGTCAGCACAAGCAACTCTCATTTTCTCGAGCAAAAGGCTGTTCCCATCAAACACTAAATTTTCAGTTAAAACAAAAGCATGTGGCAAAGAACGCACCACTCCAACTGAGGACCTGCCCTTGAATCCTAAACAGAAGCTTGCCCCACATGTGCTCGTCCCCACCACCCCTGCTCTGTGCCAGGCCCCCCCTCCCAACAACTTGGCTCAGAAATGGCTCTGCCCTGCATATGCCCCCAGCACGCAGACAAGCTGTCACAGCTCCCAGAGCTCTGCCCTGCCCCACGTCTCTGAATGGCTTGAACTCCTACACCCCTGACCTACCTGCTCCCGTTCCACGCTCACCCCACTCTGAAGGCTTCCATCCCAGCCCTCAAAAGAAACCCCAGGGTGGGCTCCCAGGTTCTGTCCTGTCCTCCCCTCCCCCCGCCGGAAGCTTTTTTGTTTTGTCTTTTTTCCAACAACCAATTCTGCGTCTCTCCTACACCAGTTGCGCGTCCTACAATTCAATTCTGACTCTACCCGGAGTTAGTGCAGACCCACAAGTTAAGGGCTGAGTTCCACGAGACCACCCCCACTTTAGGCAACTACAAATTCAAGGGTTCCCATCAACCCCTCAGTTTTGAGAGTTTGCCAGAATGACAGATAACTCAGGAAAGCGCTCCACTTACTGTTACAGTTTATTATAAAGGGTACAGCTGAGCATCCAGGTGAAGAGGTACACAGTGCTACGTCCAGAGGAGTCCTGAGCGCAGGAGTCCCTGTCCCCATGATCAGCAAGTACCACCAACCCAGAAGCTCCCCAAGCCTCCCTGTTCAAGAGTTTTAATCTTTATTACCTAGGCATGATTGAGTACATCCTTGGCCATTGGCCCTGAACTCAGTCTCAAGGCACCTCATTAGCATAAACTCAGGTTAGAGAGAAAGGGGCTCATATGAGTAACAAAAGACACCCTATCACTCCGGAAATTCCAAAGACTTGAGGATCTCTGGCAAGAACCGGGAAGACCAGGGGACTGAGACTAAATGTAGAAATGTATTTCTTCGCATCCCACACCTTCCTTTACCTGTCTTCTAAGAGACCATGCTCACCCGTTACTCCAGGCAGCATCTTCTCTCTCCGACCTCCAACTCCTCCCCAGCACGGCACGCCGTACCTTAAAACCTGTGGGTACACTTGACCCGGAGGTCCATGGGCACCTCACATTCAACAGCTCCAAGGCTTCCCAGCTGCCCCAGCCTGCTCCTCCTTGAGTCCTCCCCCGTTTCCATAATGGCCGGAAGCTGTGAGTGTCCCTTGCCAGCAGCTGCTCTCACACCCAGGCCCTGGTGAAGCTAGTCAGCCCACCTCTGGCCCACCCCGGCCCACTCCCAAATGTGTGCTGCACACAACTTCCTCCCAAAAGAGCATGGTGTGGAAAGGAGAAAAGTAACTGCAGAGTGGAGGAACCTGATGAATACCACCTCAGCCAGTGACCAAGGTCCCATCGACTGCCACAGTCATACTGACAGGAGGCACCCCTGACAGGATGTGATGAAAAGGACACTTCACCTCTATGGTCTCATCCACAAGCCCAGCCTAACCATGGGAAACGCATCAGCAAATCCCATAGAGGGGCATCCCACAAGGTGTCTGACCCGTCCTCCTCAAAACTATCAAGGGAAGTCTGCGAACTGTCACAGCCAAGAGGAGACTAAGGAGGGGCTGGCCGAGTGGCTCAGTTGTTGGTTGAGGGCACGAGCTCTGAGCAACAGGGTTGTAAGTTCGATTCCCACATGGGCCAGTGAGCTGCCCACAGGTGGTGAGACGGCTCAGCTGGTGAGAGCATGCGCTCCTAACAAGAAGATGGCCTGTTAGACTCCCACATGGGATGGTGGCTACGCCCACTCTCAACTAAGACTGAACTCGGTACCTTGAGCTGAGCGGCCGTGAGCTGCGGCCGGGTGACCGGATGGCAACTGGACTTGGAGCTGAGCTAGTTGCGCCCTCCACAACTGAGACTGAAGGACAAGTTGGTTGTTTCCTTCCCCAATTCCACAACACTGTTCCCCTTCCCCAATACCCCAATAAAATCTTTAAAAAAAGAAAAAAAAAGGAAAAGAAAAAGAGGAGACTAAAGAGAAAAAGTGACTAAATGTAATGTGCCATTCTGGATGGAGTCCTGGGACAAAAAAAAATACATCACAATAAAGTATGTGCAGAATAAAGGAAAAGTCCGTAACAACAGAAAAAAGTGTGTGTAGAATAAGAAGAAAGTACGTAACAGGAAAAAAATATCAGAATAAAGTCTGAAACAGAATAAAGGAAATGTAAATACAGTATGCACCTCAGTTAATAATAATGTACCAATGTTGGTTTACTGATTGTAACAAAGAACCATACTGATGTAAGATGTTAATAATAAAGGAAATGTACTCCAGAAAAGGCCCGCAGTACCCAGCTGGGAGTCGTTTCCGAGGGTTCAGGACCCTGCTCCCCACAGTCCAGCTCTAGGTCCTGCAGGCTCTGGCGTCTGTTGGACCTACAGCAAACCACCTGTCTTGACACTCGGCTCCCTTGTGTCTGTGTAACGATGAACATAAGGACAGGAAACATTTGTGTTCCTGAAATGATACAGCCACAACTTTTAAACCTTAAACATGCTATGGAAATGTGAAGTGGCAAAGTATTATCACCATCCTTAACAAGAGAGAGGGAGGGAGGGAGGGAGGGAGAGGGGGAGGGAGAGAGAGAGAGAGAGAGAGAGAGAGAGAGAGAGAGAGAGATGGCGCTCTGACAGCAGAGACTACAAAAAAGATGGACTGGACAGCCAGTCAGTCCTTGTTGCTCAATGCTCTACCAACTGTTCCAAAGGTCTAAGCAGCCAACCAGCCATAACCATTAAAATTACAAGAATCAGTCCGACCGAGTGGTGCGTTGGTTAAGAGCTGGCTTGGGACGCCAGAGGGCCCTGGTTCAGATCCCACATATGAGGGCCAGTGACACTGCCCTCTACAGCTAAGATGCTGAACAACAGCTCCACCTGGAGCTGGGCTGCCTTGAGTCGCCAGCGACGGCGTAGGCTGCAGCCCCTGCTGCAGTGGGTTGCCATGGGCTACCGTGTGTAGCCAGCAGCCAGCGTGAGCGGCCAGCAGCCGCTGTGAGCGGCCGTCCAGAAGCCAGCGACTGATCTGTCTCGCCCGGGGAAGAGCACAATGATGGTGCCAACTTGGGCCAGTGAAGCAACGTCCTCCACAACTAGACTGAAGAACAAAACGACAGCAACTTGTCTATTCCCCTTTTCCCCAATTCCCCAATAAACATCTTAAAAAAAAAATAGTTGGCTTAAGAGCATGGGCTCTGAGCAACAGGGCCGCCGGTTCGATTCCCACATCGGCCAGTGACACTGCGCCCAAGCTGAGCTGTTGCTGAGCTGCCAAATGGCTCAGCTGGTGTAATAAGATTGCCTGTTCGATGGTGGGCTACGCCTGCCCACAACTAAGATTGAACACAGCACCTTGAGCTTAGAGGCCACCAGCTGCTGATGGGAAGCCAGATGGCGACTGGCACCCTCCACAACGAAGACTGAAGAACAACTCGGCTGGTCCCCTTTCCCAACTGCCCAATAAAATCTTTGAAAAAAAAAAAAGACAAGAATCAAATCTTGAGGTACCTTTGCAAACTGTAAAGCACCATGAAATACATTATTTTACTTCAGTCTCTCAATCTTATAGGGCAAGTTTATCTCTAGCCCACCAACCTTACGAACAAGGAACAAACTCAGAAAGGTTAATGTAAAAAGAGAAACAGAGGCAGAGAAGTGAGGGAGTGTGTGGCGCCCTACATGTGGACCCCTAAGAGCCCAGCATCAGGTGTGATCTCCATGTCACAGCTAGGATCACTGAAGCTCAGGATACAAATGGACCTGCCCGATACAACGCACAGCAAGGCCTGGGGACCCTCTACAGACGCCCAGTAACACCATAAGAATATCGGTCCCACAGACGTCCTGCAAGCCCGCAGGTCCTGCTCGCCAGTGTCTGCCAGCCCCCACCCCCACCCCATCTCAGGAGCTCTGAAAGTGACCCAAGGGCACGACTGTCCGCGTGAGTGGGCGCCACGTTCCATCGAGCTTAACCACGAGAGGAGCGCTGAGCCCGTCCCAGGGCTAGCCGTCAGCGCGCTCTCTTCACAACTTTCCTAAATCCACTCTGGACGCAGCAGCCGGCAGCCGGCAGCCGGGCGACTAAGGTCACACCGCGAGTGAGTCACCGGCCGCCGCGCGCACCACGCCCGGCAACGGGCCGACCCGGTTGGGCGGGGCGGAGGGACAGGGCCGCCCAAGGCCCAGCCTGGCGTGACCCGGCCCGGAGTGACCCCGACCCCGGGCCGCGTCCGAGCGCTCCGACCCACCCACCGGAGAGCCGCCCCGCCCGTCTCGGCCCCGGCCCTCCTCCGCCTCGGCCCCCTCCCGAGTCGTCGGCCGCTTACTTCTCGGGGCGGCGGCGCGGGGCGCAGGGATGCAGGAGGGCCCCCGGCCGCGGCAGCTCCTCAGTAAGATGGACGCCATGTGCCCGGCTGCGGCTGCCGCTCCAGCCTCCTGCTGCTGCCTCCTCCTCCGCGGCGGCCGCGGCTCCTCGCCGGCCCGGCGGCGCCTCGGCCGGCCCGTCCGGACGATTGAGTGCGGCGGTTGGCTTCCGGCAAGCGTTCAGCTCAAGGACCCGGGACCGGCGGCGGCCATGTCCCGGCACAGACGTCCGGCGGCGCGGGGCGGGGCGGCCGGGCTCCGCTCCCATTGGGCCCCTTGGGCGCCCGCCGCCGGCCGTGGGAGGGAGGTCCCGGCGTGCCCCGCGGCCGACTACCGGTCCCGGCGTTCCCCGCGGTCCGCCCCCGCGGCGCGCTGCATTCTGGTTCTCGCCGCGCCGCCGCCCAGCTTTCGGACCGCTAGCGTTGAGGGAGCGGACGGCGCATGCGTGGCGGGCCCTTCCGCATCCGGGTGGGACCGGGCGCCGCAGCGACGCGCGGTAGACAACCTCGCGGAAAGCTCAGCGGCGCGGCAGCCGCGCTTGTGTGTGGTCTGTCTCGGTCCCGTTCTGGCGGCGCGCGCAGCCCCGAGGGGCACCCCCCCCCGGTTCCAGGGTGGCACCCCCTGCGCCAACCCCGCACGCCGCGTCCGCCACCCGTCGTTCTGCCCTGGCCTGTCCCAACCCCCCCAGTCCGCAAATGGTGCCTCCGGCTAGGGCGGGCCGAGCCCGCACACCCTCCCCGTTGAGCTGAAGCGCCTGCTCCCGACCTCGGTGGGAGAGACCTGGCCGTTGACCTTTGAGCCCCGCCCTCCCCTTCCCTAAGCCAAGGTCACTGACGTTCGCAGCGGTCGTGGAGGAGGGGGGGGGGTGTCGATGAGGTCACGCAGGGAGAGTAGGCTGCGGGGAATGTGGGGACACGAGGCTCCCGCGCCAGCGGAACCCCGTCTTCCCCAGCAGGCCACTCCCGCCATCCTGCACCCCCAGTCCAGTGGCACCAGACCCTTCCCCGGGACTCGGGACTCGCCACTCTGCTTTCCACCTCCCAGCCTTTGCTCCTCTCAGGCTCTCTGCCTGAAAAGGGGTTTCCATCCTTCTTGCCCCATCCGCCTGTCCGTCCTCACTGATGGAATCCCCGGGCACAGCATAGTGTAGGTCCTGTAGCGCACACTCAGTGCATATCTGTTCTCTGGGGTGCATGAGTATGGAACTCCTGACCCCAGCATGCTCCCCAGGATTTAGAGGCTGGTTAATGGCACGTCTCCCCAGGAGGCCTCCCCAGCACTCAGCCGTCACCATCTGGAAGAAGACGTAGCCTGCCTGCGGTGGCTTTCCTGAACCAGAACTGCCAGGTGCAGGACCGGGATGGGCCTGGCGTTCCCATCTCAGGTGGGAGTAGGTGGCGCTAGTTAGTGCAAGGCACTTTGAAAATGGCATGAAGCGCCTACGCTGGCAGTGGGCAGTCAGTGAGCGCTATAGACATCGAAATGCCGGAAAACCAGGCCTCCCCTGCCAACAAACTATAAAGCCACGCCCCTTTCCTACCCATCTCCCCCGGGGGCAAAAAAGGATAAAGATGGGCAGTCCTTGTCCTTACAGCCCAAGGTCAGGTGGACAGGCACTCAAGAGTCAGACAGGACTGGCATTTTAATGCCCAAAGTGTAGGAGTATGCTTACCTTCGTGCTAGTAGCTGACATTGGGTTGAGCCTTGGAGGGGCAGGGAGGCAGGCTCCACAGAGGGGCAGACGAAAATCAAAGCTGGTCCCTGGTGGTGCTGTGGGGTCCCAGCTGCCCCAAGACAGGGCCGAGCAGGAGGCAGTGACCCATGGATGGACACGAGTGTCTGTTTGCAGGACTTGGAAGGACACTGGATTGAGAGGGGAGAGAAGCCCCCTCCTGCCTCTATTGTGTGAGGCTCCAGGTGTGAAGAAAGGTAGCAGTACTGCTCACCTACCCTTGAGATTACTCGCCCCTGCCTGACCCAGCCAAGTGAGGTGGGAGGAAGAAGCCAAAAATAGGGTCTCCCCAGAGCACCCGGGGCCTGTATTGAGGGCTTCTGGGTACCATCTGTGACACTGTGAAGCCCAGTGAATTTTAGAGAAGTTTATTTTTCAACAATAACTTACTGGGTTTTCCACTTATCTAAAAACTGTGTAGTCATTTCAAGTTTATAAAAATATTAATAAGTATATAAACAAACATAAAAGTATGGTACCCCAGCAGCTTGCCATGAACACCCTGATGCCAAATCTGTGGCCGTCATCCTGACCTGCATTTCATCATGCCAGTTTGTTTTCATACTGTGACTCTTTTTGCCTTTTTCTTTCTTTTGGGGGAGTTCCTTTTTCCTCTTCCTGCGCTCCCCATAAATTGTACACAACCTTCCACAGTCTCTCCATCTTTACACAAGTGACGAGAGTCGAGAGAAGCAGGGGCAGATGTCCTGCAGCACAAACGCCCCAGCTAGGGGTGTTAGAGAACCAGGTGAGAGGTGGGGTTAGGGGTCTGGTTAGGAAATCGGGTTAGAGGGTCGGGTTAGAGACTGGGTTAGGGAGTCACGTTAGGGGATGGGGACCAGAGGGAGACTCAGCAGGGCTTGGCGTTGTACTTCAGCCACGCTCAGGTACACAGCAGATGGAGTTGGATCTGGCCAGGTTGGGAGTTTTGCCCAAAAATGTGATGAAGAAAGGGAGGGACAGTGGAGTCAGGTGTATGCGAGAGTGACTGTGAGGCTTGACTGGGAAGTTTAAACTGGGGAAGAGAGTCCCAACAGGTGGCAGGATGGCTCAGCTATAAAATAAAATCAATAAACAGGAAGAGAGGGGGAGGTGGGGGCGGCTTGGGACAGTGGAAGGTGGCAGGATCACTGGCTGGCCTGCGGGGCCTGCTGGGCCTGAATAGGGTGTAGTCGGGCACCAGAGCGAATAAGCTGGTAAACGAGGGATGCTCATTATTAACAGGCTGGCGGCTGGCTGACACTGATTGGCTGTGGCAAGGGCTAAGGTGTGAGCCCAGGAGAAGAGCTTGAGGTGAGGCTGGAGGGCAAGGTCCTGGGGGAGAGGGACCAGGTCACCTTTGCCTCTGAGCACTGTGTGGGAGCACCAGCTGGATGCAGCCTTAGCCAGGCACAGGCAGAAGGAGGAGCAGGGGCCAGTCCCCAGCCCCCCGTTGCCCCGTTGGAACAACCATGGTGGTGATCCTGGGCTGGGATATGAGAGGGAGGTGTGTTCGGGTCTTGGGAACCCAAGAATTGTGTCTGTGGAAATTGTGGAGGTTGAGCTTACTGGCACCCCACAGCAACACCCACTCACTCTCTCCTTGCTCTTTCTAACAGAGCCCTGGGGTTACTGGAAAACAGCACTTGCTAGCCTCCCTTGAAGCTAGAGCTGGGCCTTCAGGGGTGAAGTCTTTAACGTGAAGGTGGCCCCTTGATCCTTCTGCTGCTTTCTCCCTGCCAAGCACCGTGGGCAATGGAATGGAAAGAAAGCCTGGACTGCCACACTCAGGCTTGTTTTACACAACAGAAAACATTTACCTTCCTTAGGCACTGTTGTTTGAGGGGATTTCTGTATGTGAAGCTGAACTCAAGCATAATGACTTCACATTCCAAGAGAGGCTGGATTGCTGGGTCAGCATGACTGCAAATATATATTTTTTGTAAACCTTTAAAGTGATGAGGTTTTAATTTTAAATTTAACTTTTTAACTTTCTTTCACCGTATTAAAGTGAAGTGACGTGGCCAAGTCCTCAGTGTAGTCGAAGCATTTTTCCATTATGCCCACACCCAGGCAGTCCCCACTCCCTCCCATCAAGGCGGTAAGCTGCCAGCTCTCAGAAGGCTCCTCGTGCCCCCTCCGACATCACCCCTTCTCAGAAAGAGCCCTGCTCTGGCTTCTACAGCCAAAAATCACTTTGTCTGTTTTTTTCACTTCATATAAATGGAATTGAATAGCGTATACTTTTTTATCTGGCTGCTTTCACTTAACATTATGTCTATCAAATTCATCCGTGCTGTGGGTAACGTTAGTTTGTTGTTTTTCATTTATATAATGTGCATCCTGTTCTATACCACGACATATTTGTCAATGCTATGGTTGCGGACCCTCTATTTTGGCCATGATGAACAATGTTGTTGTTAATATTCCTGCACATGGCTTTGTTGCCCTTAATAGGAGTAGAATTGCCAGTCAGGGTGTGCTTAAGTTCAATGTTAGAAGATACTGACACATGGTTTTCCAGGTCAGTCCTATCAGCTTATCCCATCACCAGACGAGTAGGGCAACACGGTCACTCCAGGTCCCCAACAGTCCTTGGTTTTGTGGTTTTTGCGATTCTAATAGTTATGGAAGGTGTGGGGCATATTGTGGTTCCTTTTACATTCCTTTCGTGACCAAGAATTCTGAGGCACTTTTTCATAAGCTTTTGACCACTGAGACCTGTGAAGTGCCTGTGAAAGGTTAGTTTTTTGTCCTTTTCTCCATTGGGTCATCTGTCTTTTTCTTACTGAATTGTTAGAGTTCTTTGTATGTTCCAGATATGGGTCCTTAGATGTATGTATTGCAAGCATTTTCTCCCATCAGTGGATTGCCTTTTCAATTCTTCATGGTGTCTTTTGATGAATAGAAGTTTTTATTTTAATGATTTAATCTCTTTTTTTTTAATGATTGAAGAAATCTTTGCTACCCCAAGGTCATGAAGACATTCTTTTGTGTTTTATTCTAGAAATGTAACTTCTATCTTTCACATTTAGGTTTATGATCATTTGGAACTGATGTTTATTTTGTATATCATGAGGCAGGCATCAAGGATGACTTTTCCTCTATGGGTACAGAATAGATCCAGCACCATTTTTTTTTTTTACTTTTATTGGGGAACAGTGTTTTTCCAGGACCCATCAGCTCCAAGTCAAGTAGTTGTTTCAATCTAGTTGTGGAGGGCACATCTCGGTGACCCATGTGGGGATCGAACCGGCAACCTTGGTGTTATGAGCACTGCACTCTAACCAACTGAGCTAACCGGCCGTCCCCAGCACATTTATTGGAAAGACCGTCTTCCTCCCCATTCAGTAGGCACAACAATGGCCCCCAAAGATATCCACGTCCCTTCCTAATTCAGAATTTGTGAATGGTACCTGACATGGAAAAAGGGATTTTTGCAGAGATGATTGTATGAAGGGTTTTGAGGTGGGAGGCCATTCTGGATAATCCAGCTGTGCCCAATGTAATGAAGTGTCCTTAGAAATGGCAGAGGGAGGGGTGATGACAGAGGAAGTCAGAGTGAGCGGCATGTTGGGGACTCAGGCAGCCATTGCTGGCTTCGAAGGTGGAGGAAGGGGCCTTCAGCCACAGAATGCATGCTGCCTTTAGAAGCTGGAAAAGGCAAGAAAATGAGCTTTCTCCTAGATCCTCCAGAAAGAAATGCAGCCCTAACGACACCTTGGTGAGACATGTACCCGATTTCTGACCCACGGCACTTTAGGATGACAAATTTGCATTTTTTTAAGCCATTGAGTTTGTGAGAATGTGTTACAGAAGCAAATAGCTAATATACCTCATTGAGTTACAGTGGCCCTTGGGTTATAAATCATGTGGCTGCGTATGCTGGCACTCTGTTCTGCCGCTTGGTCTTTCTGTTTATACTTGAGCCAATACCAAGTGGTTCTAATTACTGTAGCTTTCTAACATGTCTTGATATATGGTGCTGTCAGACCTCTAGCTTGTTCTTCTTCTTCAAGGTTGTTTTGGAAGTTCTTGATGTCCTTTGATGAACAGAAGTTCTTAATTTTCGTACAGTCAAATTTGTCAATCTTTCCTTTGATAGCTAATGGGTTTTCCCCCGTCCTTTTAGAGAAATCTTCCCTGACCTAAAGTCAGAAGGGTATTCACTTATGTCTTCTACTAAAAGATTTAAAGATTGTCTTTTACTGTTTAAGACCTCGATCCACCAAGTTTCCAGGAATCCTTGCCTGCAGTGTGAGGTACGAGCCCAGCTTTATTTTTCACATGTAGATAACACAGGCCTTTCGCAGGCCTCCTTATTCAATAACCTCTCCTTCCCCCAGCTTGTGTGCCCGTCATATATCACAGTGCGTGTGAGGCTGGCCTCAGAGTCTGCTTTCTCTTTCCTCCTCTTCGCTGGTCAGCTGTTCCCTATACCACTTATGCTACTTCCTGTCGGTCTGACCTGAGACACAGTAGCCCTGAAGCTAAGGAGGCCCCTCTGTGAGACCCTGGCAAGTCAGTGTATTCACACAGCCCTTTTCCTTTTGAGGGAAGTTTGCAAAAGTGCAAAATTTTGACTGTGTTTGGTTAAGACCACTGTCTCTTTCCTCACTGCCCACCCCTCTTGTTTGACTCTGAAGTGCCCACACGTGGTTTGCATCTCAAGCAGGCCAAATCCTGCTTGGGGTTCACTGAACTTCTTGGATGAGTCAGTCAGTGTTTTTTTGGTTAACTTTGGAAAAATTCTGGCCATTATTTTGGCCAATATTCTTTTTTTCTGTCCTGTTCCTACTTTTTCTTCCTTGTCAGGCTACAATATACATGTTAACCCTTTAATCTTGTCCATCAAGTGCCTGAGAAGGTTTCTTCAACATTTTCCCCTCTGGTCTTCAGATTGGATAATCACTGTTGGCAAGTTCACTGACCCTTTCTTCTGTCACCTTCAATCTTCTGCCAAGTGATCCCATCCAGTGATTTTGTTATTTATGTACTTTTCATTTATAGAATTTCCATTTCGTGTTTTTTTTTTAAAGATTTTATTGGGGAATCAGGGAAGGGGAACAGACAAGTTGCTGTCCTTTTGTTCTTCAGTCTAGTTGTGGAGGACGTCGCTTCACTCGCCCATATTGGTATTATCATTGTGCTTTTCCCGGGTGAGGCAGATCGGTCGCCGGTCACTGGATGGCTGCTCACGGCGGCTCTTGGCAGCTTACACCGGCTGCCAGCCACTCACGGTAGCTTATGGCAGCCCACTGCAGCCTACGCTGTTGCCGGCAACTCACGGCAGCCCATCTCCAGCTGTTGTTCACCATCTTAGCTGTAGAGGGCGCAGCATCACTGGCCCTAACGTAGGATCTGAACTGGGGCCCTGCTGCTCAGAGCTGGTGTCCCATGCCAACTCTTAACGACGTGCCACTCAGCTGGCTCCATTTCGCTCTTTTTAACAGCTTCCATTTTTCTGTTGAGATTCCTTTTTTCTTCACTCGTTAGACCATATTTTCCTTTAATTATTGAATACTTTGGAACAACTGCATTAAAGTCTTTATCTGTCAGATCTGACACTGGGTTCAGAGTTGGTTTCTATTGATTGCTTTATTTCTTGATTATCACCACATTTTCTCTTTTCTTCGTATGTCCAGTAACTTTATTATATGTTGGTTATGTTGTGGATATGTTCTAAAGTATCTAGATTCTGTTACCTTCCCCTGAAAGTGTGTGCTTTCCAAGGCCACAGCACTAGACTCTGCCTCTCTGCCTTCCTCCGCTTTAAATTCCCGCTCTGGGGGAAGCCAGCCCCCATGTCATCAGGAAACTCCAGTGCCCTCCCCACAGATGCCAGCTGTGTCACTGCCCCTCGGCTCAGTGGTACAGTGTGTTCCGGTTGGATGCCATGTCCATGGTAGGAGACTGCCCACTCATAGGGAGCTGGGGTGGTCAAGGCAGACCTCATGAGTTTCCTTCACTGGGGATAAGGGTCCCAAGAAAGGCTGCCTCATCCGTTGTCCATCTTATGGTTGCTTATAATGGGGGGCATGTCTGGTACAGGCTTCTCTGTTGTAACCCTCTGCAGGAGCCTGAGGTTTGCTTCTTAAAAGAGATCCTTCTACATCTGGGTAAACTGGCGAGCTCTGATCCAGCCTGGGATTTAGTTAATGGTAATGGACCACCGTTGGTTCCTTAGTTTTGACAGAGCTACCATGGAAATGTAAGGTGTTGACTCTAGGGGAAATAGGTGTGTGTGTGTGTGTGTGTGTGTGTGACTCCATATTAGCTTTGCATCTTTTCTGTAAATGTAAAATTATCCCAATAAAAAAATAATGAAGGACTGGCCGAGTGATGTGTTGGTTAGGAATTGGTTTGGGATGCCAGCTCTGAGCAGCAGGGCCTGGGTTCGGATCCCACATATGAGGACCAGTGACGCTGCGCCCTCTACTGCTAAGATGGTGAACAGCTCTACCCGGAGCTGGGCTGCCTGAGTCCCTGGCTATAGGCTGCAGTGGGGCTGGCTGGGCTGTGAGCTTTCCCGAGCTGCTGCTCTCCCGGGAAGAGTGCAATGATAATACCAACATGGGCCAGTGAAGCGATGTCCTCCACAACTAGATTGAAGAACAAAAGGACAGCAACTTGTTTCCCTCCCCCAATTCCCAAATAAAATCCTTTAAAAAAAGGAACGAAAAGTATCTGTCTGGCTGTAAGAGTGAGGAAAGGGATGTAGGAGTGGACAGGCTCCGTGTCCTGTGTGGCTGCCCGCCAGGCTGGCTCTGAGTGGCCACTCCTGCTGTCTCTGGTCAGTTCTAACTCGGGTGGCGAAGCCTGTCACCAGTGCAGAATTGAAGCGGTCCAAAGAGCTCCCCAAGCTGTTACCAGCGCTTACATCTCACTGCCAGTCCAGGGCTCAGGAAGGGCTTTTCTTTATGCTGTTATGGGTTTTAATTTACTGCAATTTTCATAATTAGGAAGAGAAGTGTTACGTTAGTACAAAACGATCTTTCTTTAGCCAAAGCCTCGAGTGCATGGGCAGCGCGGGTTGCGGGCCCCGCCCTGGGTGGTCCCGGATCTGGCAGTCCCCGTGGAGCATGGGGGCAGGGGCCGCAGGAGCTGTGCGGGCGGCATGGCGGAGGCCGCTGGTCTCCGCACCATTGCCCTGGGTTCTCAGGCATCGTTTCCTTCCCTCGGAGGGACCCAGGAGCTGCAAAAAACGGCTCGGCCACCCCCGGGGAGTGGAGTCGGGAGGTAGGGAGGTGAGCGGCCCGCGCTGGTGGCGGTCGGTGGGCGGGGCTTTGAGGTGCGTGGCCAATGCGAAGGGCATGACTGTGTGGGCGGGGCTCTGGGGGGGCGGAGCCAGGGGCTGGAGGCCTGCGGCGGACTGGCGGGACGGGTCTCTAACCCCTTGATGCCAGCGGCCGGCGGGGCTTCCACATCCTCCCCCAGACCGCGCGAGCTAATCTGCCCCAGGCGTCGGGGCTCTGCTCGGCTCCCACCGCCCCCTCTCCCGGGCGTCCCCTGCGCGTTCAGGAGGGAGCGCAGCCGGGCAGGTGCGAGCACGCGCCCTGGGGAGGCGGGCTCTGACCTGACGCAACCATTCCTTCCCCGCAGCAGCTCCCCGAAGGATACTGCCGTGTTATTGACATGATTTCACACACGGAGGCCTCACAGGTCGTACAGCTAGTAAGAGAGGTGTGGGTTGAATTGCACTCCTCAAGAGGTTCGTTCAAGTCCTGACTCCCTGCCCGTGAATGCGACCTTTTTCAGAAACAGGGTCTTTACAGATGATTAAGTTAGGTGAGGTCATTAGATGGGCCTTAATCCAATGACTGGTGTCCTCATAAGAGAAAACAGACAGGTGGGCACACAGGGAGAAGGCCACGTTAAGATGGACCCTGGGACAGGAGTGATGCTGACACAAGCCAAAGAACACCAGGGACTGCCAGCCACCACCAGAAGCTAGGAAGAGGCAAGGCAAGATTCTTCCCAAGAGCCTGCAGGAGGAGTGTGGCCCTGCATACTCCTTGCTTTCATGCTTCCGGCCACCAGAACTGTGAGAGTAAGTCTGTATTGTTTTGTGGTACTTTAACCCGCGGCCTGAAGGAACCAGCACTTGGGGGCCTGGCGGTCCAGCTCCAAGCAGCATTGCCACCTGGAGATAAACAAGAGCTGTGAGTACTCTCCAGGGGACTCAGCCAGCCTGGGAGGAGGTCAAAAAAGGCTTCTAGAGAAAGACCTGGCATGGGGCGGGGGAGGGAAGAAATTCAATCCAGCGTCTGTCGAGGGTCTGGGCGTGTGGCTGTCCAAAGGGTGATGCCCAGCGGGGAGTCAGCTTTACAGACAGGGAGTTCTGGGGAGAGGCTGGGCTGGAGAAGTGGAGCTAGACCCCCCCCCCCATTCCTGAAAGTCCAACATGAAGCTGGCCAAGGAATGGGATTTGTGTGAGGGGAATTGGGGAGACATAACAGGATTTTAAACAGTTGGGTAACATGGTCAATTTTGTGGTTTAAAAACAATTCCCCTGGCTGGGTGCAGAGAATGGACTGGAGGTGGGAAAGGGGTGGGTGGAAGTGTTGAGGAGAAAGCTGCCCTGAATTCCAAGTGGGAAGTCCTGGCAGAGGAGAGGGCAGAGCAGCGGGAGAGGAGGGACTGGAAGGGAGGAGGATTTAGGAAGTGGAATCCAGGGAAGGTAGAAAGAGTCCTGCGCTGGCACGGTGGAATCTCCAAGAAGCAGCCTTTGGGGGAAGATTAGTCCACAGTTGCCCCCAGGACTGGACTCTGGTCCTGGGCTGCAGTTTGCTCCTGGAGGTGACCCTGAGACTCTGATGACAGGCACTTCAGATCCCTTGGTGGCTCCTGTAGGTCAGCCCCAAGGAAAACAGAGACAGGGGTGGGCAGAGAGGGTAGGGAGGCCTCCTGCACAGGCCTTTCAGCCAGGACTTGTTCGGGGTGGTGGGTTTCGCAGGGTTTCAGTCTGCCCGTCCATCTCCCTGCCTGACAGGGACCCTGGCTCAGCAGAGGGTTGCCCATGTGACCCGAGGAGCCTTGCAGTACTGTCTGTTAGCTCCTGGGGGCTGTCCCAGTGGACTGAAGTGATCCTTGGGCTGGGCTGGAGCTGAGGCAGAGCCTGTCCTCGGAAAAGGCAAGCTTCCACCTTGGAGAGCCGAGCGGTCATGGCTGGAAAGGGGCTGCTAGGAAGGTCTGGGGGCAGGAGGCCCCTGCCACTGCTGGCCTGGGCTGTGGGGAGGGGGCCTGTCTTCCCTCCCTCCTTGGAGGCAGGGGCCACCTGGGGCACAGGAGGAGGGGCAGCTTGAGACCACTGGTTTCCACTTGGAAGCCCTCTTTATTTGGCCAGGGATGGAGAAAGGCTGGGGTCAGAGTGCATGCATCCCCATGGAAACAGCAATGAGCCTGGCCCCTGGGGGAACCCTGGCCCTTGTGGGGGATGGGGAGGCCAAGCTGGGGCCGGGGGGGGGGCCCTCCTTTGGCAGCAGCTCTTACAGGGAGCCCGGGCCAATGAGCTGCAGGACCTACAAGGATGAGGAGCAGGGAAGCAGAGCAGGATTCAGCAGGGCCACAGAGAGAATGTGTGTGGCGGGGGCAGTGGGTTGTGCCTCCTAGAGCTGTATGCCTGAGTGGGTGGTTAGATGGTAGGCATCCAGAGGTAGTGAGGCAGCAGGCCTTGTGGTCAGGGCACTCCCAGTTCCTCTTGAGCCCTTGTGCCATGGCTGCAGAGCTGGTTCCAGAGCCAGCAGGCAGGCCCAGGGTACCTTGGTCCTAAATGCATTGTCTAGCTCAGCCTCAATCTGAGAACCGAAATGGAGGGCAGCTGAAACCCAGTGGGCCAGAGCAGGGCAGCCCATGCCCTCTGAAAGTCCTCATCTGTGGTCGCTACTTTATGTCAAGACTGGATTCTTAGTCTCCCCATCCGCTGCAATTGTCCCATCTGAATACGTACAGAGTTTTCATTCAGAGAAGTGACAAGAGTCTCGGAGACCAAAATAAAGTTTGGCCCTAGCTGCTGCCGTCCTCGAGTGCCAGGCATAGCTAAGCTCAAGGCTCCCTCTCCTGGCTCTCGCCTCCCAGCCTGAGGCCTGCTTTCCAAGAACAGCCCATAGTGGGGTGGGGGGAGACTGCCCCAGCTCAGAACTTTGAAACTGTGTGCCAGCCAGTGCCCACCTGTGGGATCCTCACAGGTGAGCACCTGCAGACCCAGGCACCTACCTGTGTGCTTCCTGCAGTCCATGGGGGCAAGGCCCTGGTGTGTGGAGGGCTGGGGACTGTCCAGCTGGCCAGACTTGCTATAAAGGCCTCAGGACCTCCATGATACAGCTGGGCTGGGTCCAGGGAAGCCCACGCTGGGTGGGAAAAGACCAGCCAGCCCCAAATAACTAAGAAAATCCAAACTTGCAGGTTTTAAATAAATTTACATGTTGATTGCATTACTCTAAATGCAGATTTTTTTTTTTTCAGAAGAGTTTTCATTCTAAATCTGTGAGATCCAATGAGACACGGTGCTCATTTGTCTTTTACCGTAAGGACTAGAAAGGTGCTGGGGAGGCGGGAATTTGCAGGCCTGTGCTCCACAGGGGTCCAGGGCCTGGGGAGGGCACTTATTCGCCCCACAGCCAGAGGGATATGGCAAAGTGCAAATGTGAATGTGCTACCACCCAGGGGCTCCTGGTGGCCAAGGGTGTCTCTTCTGGTCAGTTAGGACCCCCAGGCCCCTGCAAGGGCGCAGCACACAGCAGGACCTCACCATACAGTTTTGGGACAGAGGGGTGAACAATTCCATATCCCCGTCAGCGGGGACACTGGGGAGGGCTTGGAGCTGGCCCTGGCATGCCCTAGGGCAGTCCCTGCTCGGGTGGGAAGCAACGGAAGCTTCTAGCTGGCTGAAGAGGGCCCGAGTGCCATCTCCTTTGGTGTTGTCTACTGGAGTCCTGCACTGGCAGAACTGACCAGGCCTTTGTACCCCAACCCCCAAGTCACCCGATGTGGCCGCTCCAGGGAAGGGCAAGACTGGTAGTGAGGAGGCTCTCAGCAACTGAGGCAGACTCTGCAGGAGCTGGCAGCTGGAGGCTGGGCAGAAAGACCCTCCTTGAAGGGAGACCGTAGAGGCACATGTGTGTGTCCACTCTAACAGTCAGAGTGATCTTCCCAAAGATGGATTCTGACCCGAGGCTGGCAACCCTGCCCCATCCCTGCCTCACTGGCATGGCATCTCTTCCAGCAGTTTCAGGGCCTGAGAGTCCTGATTCTGCCCGTGGAACTCCCAATGCACTCAGCTTCAGGCCAGACCCGAGCCTGGGAGGTGGGGGGAACAGATGAATGCACGCCCAGCAGATACTCTGCAGGAAGACCCCAACACCACCGTGCCAGCCCGTCCCTCCTCCCCCCGCTCCCGATAGCTGTTTGTGACCATGTATGCCAAGTCTGTACTGCAGTATTCAGGAGCACAGGCCTGGGGGAAGCTGTGCACCCTTCTCTGCAGGACGGGTAGCCCCCTCCACGCTCCCCTGCGAGGTCCCGCTGGGTCCTCGCGTGCAGGGGCAGGGGAATCTGACCTCCACCATCCCTGGTGGGGCGGCACTATCAGGCCCCGCGCCTCCTTCCTGCCGCCGCAGCAGGGCGGTGGTAAGCACCTGGGCGCCTCGCGTGCGGCGCGAGCGAGCGCAGGGCGCGCGGCGTGGCGCGGAGCGAGCGGCGCCGCGGGCCGACGTCCCGGGCCGAGGCCGGGC